TCAATTAGAGATTCTCATTTCTCAAGCTATATTGCTATAATAATTTATTAATTTGACCTCTTATGTTTCATTTATTTTTTCTCCCTTTAAGAAATTCTATATCTAGCTTCTAGATTAAAATCTGTCTCTATGACTTTTTATTGAGCTAAATAACATACATAGAGAAAAGTGCAGAAGTCACAGATGCTCATCTCAGCTTGATGAAATTTCACAAACTGAATATACTTGTGTAACTACCCTAGTAAAAAGTCATTTTAAAAATCATATTTATAGCTTTGCTATTTTGCCTTCAAAACCAATTAACTCAAGGAGTATGAGCCTTATTAATTTTCTTAATGTTGGAATAGCAGGAGAAAAATTACCCTGTCATTTACAACTGCTGGTCACATGTCGTTTGGCTTTGGAGACATTTCTTTACTTCACTACATATCCACTTTTTTGTCTCATACTGCTCTTCCTGAAATTCATTTCCCTTTTGTCTTTTTATAATCTAAATAATGGTTGTAATTTCATCTCTAGCTCATATATTGACATTTCCAGGGATCTTTTCTGGGCTAGTCAAGCTTTAATTATTTTTTTTCTTTTTCTCTTCAAAAATTCATTAATTTTTTTTCTTTTATTGATTCTAGAGAGAGGGGAAGGGAGGAAGAAAGAAAGGGAGAGAAACATCAATTGTTACCTCTTACACATGCCCTGACTGGGGATTAAACCACAACCCAGGCATCTGCACTGACCAGGAGTCAAACCTGCAACCTTTCAGTTTGCAGGACAGTGCCCATCAACTGAACTACACTGGCCAGGGCTTTAAAAATTCTTTAATGAGTTTATTTTTTAATAAGTAATGTCAATACATACACTTTGAACAAAATTCCAATGTACAAAAGGATACTGAGTGAAAAATCTCCCACTCCTGTGCCCCAGCCAGTATGGGTTCTTCTAGGAGTACTTTTATGTACTTACAAGCAAAATGAATTTTTAATATTCTGTCTTCTTTTTATACAATACCAAGTTCTGTATCTTACTTTCTTCAATTAACAGTTCTTAATGGTAGTTCCAGATTAATAAACAATATGATTCCTCATTTTTTATTAGGGCCGAATGATATTTCACAGACTGAGTATGCCATGATCAGGACTCCCACATATGGCTGGGAAGATTGAACACTGAGTAAATTCACATAGGCTATGATTTGAATGGCACTCCCTAGAATTATTGAGTTATAATCAAATACAGTAGCCTCAATTATAATTTATTGTATTTAGTTCCTTTTGCTGAATAGTTCTAGGCCTCCCTCCCTCCCTCCCTTCCTCTTTCTTTCCTTCCTTCCTTCCTTCTTCCTTTCTTTCTTTCTTTCTTTCTTTCTTTCTTTCTTTCTTTCTTTCTTTCTTTCTTTCATTGGTATTTCAAACACTACTGAAATGAATAGTCTTATAAATGTCATTTGACATCTATGGCAAAATTTTCTGTAGGATACTATTCTCTTAATTCTTAGAGTATTTATAAGCTCTACCAATTCAACAGTTAGACATAGTCTTGATTTATTATGGAATTGTTTAAATATTTAAAAAATTTGTTGTACCTTAAAGAGTGGTGCCACATATTAAATTATTTTATACTCACCCAAATCTAGAATATTGCTGTATATAAATAAGCCCTTTGGATGGGCTTGAGTAATAATCAGATACCTTCCAGATTCTTTTTACATTTTTATACTTTTGAGCTCCTTTGAAATTTCTGATAATGAGAAAAAAAAATATTGTCACAGCTTAGACCAGAGTCAGATGTATTTAGAAGCAGAAGCGATATTTATCCCAAGTACTGAATAAAATGAACTATGATTTCAGATGTAGTTTAAAAAAGTTAACTCTTTCACCTTTCTTCTGCCTCAAATAATGTTCTGTATTCTTTCACTGAAAACATTGGATGAGATAGAGTATATATTCACTGAAACTTAGTTGAGCTGTAGGTAAATAATAGAAAAATGTTCATTGTCAATTTTTGTGTCCTGTATAGATGCAGTTATATCAAAGTAAAATATTCAAAGTTGCTACATACAAAGTGAAAAAAACTCGGATTATTATATTCTAAGTGTAAAATCAGCTTTACATTGACTTATTTATGTTAAGGACCATTTAGTGTCCTGGTTGCTACTTTGGAAACTTTGATGAAGTGCAGGTTTCCACTCCCTTTTCCCCTCTTCACATGTTTTCTAGATCACAAAACTAGACATCTTTTAGTTGGGGAAAAATTGTAATTTGTTCTCGGTTTGGAAAAACCACATTTTTACCATGTTTCTAAATGATGTCACTGAGGTTAGAGAGATAAACCTCTTCTCATTTTTCTGTGTAGCTTAGAGAATCTCAGCTGAATTAACAAGAAGTTGACTTCTGGTATGGATGAGCCAGAACTCAACACAGAAGGTGTGTTTCTTCATTTCTTTTAATTGGCCATGAAGGTTCACTGCCTGAAATTCTAGAAGGCTGGAGAGAAAAATAAATTCTATCATAGTTTTCAGAATTTATAGCAAACAAGCTGAATACTTGGGTAAGTTCCTGATAACTGACCTTTAGATGATCATGTTAAGCTGTAGTGATTTAAAAAAAAAACAAACGACTAAGTGAAATATAACTTACATGCTGAAGAATTTGCCCATTTACACTGTACAATTTAATGCTTTTTAGTCATTTCATAGAGTTGTGCAGCCATCATTAGAATCAATTTTAGAATGTTTCCATCACCCAAAAATGAAATCCAGTACCAACTAGCAGTTACTCCTCATTTCTTCCCAAATTTGTGAGACTTACCACTAGTTTGCTTTCTGTCTCTATAAATTTTGGACATTTCACATCATAGAGTATGTCAGTCTTTTGGTTCTGACTCTTTTCACTTAGCATGATGTTTACAAGGTTTATCCATGTTGTAACTTGTATCAATACTTCATTTCTTTTCATTGCCAAATAATTCATTTGTATGGATATTATGTTTTATATATTTATTCATCAGTTGATAGACATTTAGATTATTTCCACTTTGTGACTATTATGAATAATTCTGCTTAAATATCATGTACAAGTTTTGCGCAGACATGTTTTCATTTCTCTTGGTTGGGTATATACTGAACAGTGGAATTTCTGGGTTATATAATAACTTTAGGTTTAACTTTTGAGGAACAGCCCATTTTACATTTCTGTCAGCAGTGTATGAGGGTTCTAATTTCTTTAGTATTTAACACTTAATATTTTCTGTCTTTTTGATTATAGATATCCTAGTGGTGTGAAGTGGTATCTCACAATGATTTTGATTTGTATTCTTCTAATGGCTAATGATATTGAGCATATTTTCCTGGATGTGTGGATATTTGTTAAATCTTTTTGGAGAAATCTGTATTCATATCTTTTGCCCATTTTATTTGGTTTGTTTTTTTTTGTTATTGAGTTGTAAGAATTCTTTACATATTCCAGACAGAAGTCCCTTGTTAGATATGATTTGCAAATATTTTCTCCCTTTCTGTGAGTTTTCTTTACAGTTTCTTGATGGTGGTGGCCTTTGAAGTACAGAAAACAATTTAAAAAAAGATTCTATTTATTTATTTTTAGAAAAGGGAAAGGGGAGAGAAAGAGAAGGAGAGAAACATCTATGTGTGGTTGCCTCTCACATGCTCCTTACTGGGGACCTACCTGGCCCACAATCCAGGCATGTGCTCTGACTGGGAATCGAACCAGCAACCCTTTGGTTCACAGGCTGACACCCAATCCACTAAGCCACACCAGCAAGGTCTAAAATACAGAAATTTTTAATTTTGATAATGTCTAATTTATGCATTTTTGTTTCCTTGTTTATGCTTTTTGTGTTGTATATAAGAAACCATTACCTGAGCCAAGTTCATAAAGATTTACTTTTTTTCTTAGCATTTTATTGATTTAGCTTTGATATTTAGATCTATAATGTTAGTTTTTTGTGTATGTTCTAAGGAGGCGTCCTGCTTCATTCTCTTGTGTTTGGAAATCGATTTGTCCCAACAGCATCATTAGTTGAAAAGGATTTTTCTTCCTTCAAATAGATGTCACACTTTTATAGAAAATAATTTAACCATAAACATGAGGATTTATATCTGGACCCTCTATTCTATTTCATTATGTCTTTGTCTCTCCATACGTCAGCACCACATTGTCTTGATTACTGTAGCTTTGCAGTAACTTTTGAAATCAGGAAGTATGATTCACAGAGTTGTGCAACTATCAACTTTGTTCTTCTTTTTCAAGATCTTTTTTATTCATGTTATTCTGGCTTCCTTGAATTTCTAAGTAAATTTTTGGATTACCTTGTCAATTTCTGCAAAAAAAAAAAAAAAAGCCAGCTTAGATGTTAATATGTATTGAGTTAAATATGTAGATTAAACTGGAGAGCATTGCCTTCTTAATAATGTCTTTAGATCCATGAATAAGAATCTTTCCACTTATTTAGGGCTTCTTTAATTTATTTCAACAATGTTTTGTAGTTTTAAGAATACAAGTTTTGCCTTTATTTTGTAAAATTTATTCCTAAATATTTTGCTCTTTTTGATGCTGTTGTAAATAAAATTGTTTACTTTAAATTTTGTTTTTAGATTGATCGTTGCTAGTATATAGAAATGTTGTACAATTAATCTTTGTATATTGATCGCATACCCTGTAATCTTCTTGATTTATTCATTCTAATAAAAGTTCTACTTTTTTCATTTCATTCCTTAGGATTTTCTGTCTACAATGTCATGTTATCTGAAAATATAGTTTTATGTCTTTTTTCTAATTTCAGTGGGAATTATTTCATTACACTGGCTAGGACCTCCAGTACAGTATTGAATAGAAGTAGTGAGAGTAGACATTCTCATTGTGTTCCTGACCTTCGGTGTGAAGCATTGTGTTGTAGTGATTTTATTTTTTTTACCCTAAAATGAGCCATAACTTTGAGGATTAATTTTCTTTTGATTTAAGATCTTTTTCTTCTGTTTACACGTGCAGATATGTGCTGATTAGAAGGTTCACCTGTGCAGTGTGGAGAATAAGACAGTGCCTTACAAAAATGGGGTTTGGGAGTGACCTGAAGAATTCACATGAAGCTGTCTTAAAATTGCAAGACTGGGAATTACGGTTGCTGGAAACAGTAAAGAAATTTATGGCCCTGAGGATAAAAAGTGATAAAGAATACGCATCTACTTTACAGAACCTTTGTAATCAAGTTGATAAGGAAAGTACTATCCAAATGAATTATGTCAGCAATGTATCCAAGGTAAGAGGAATAAGTACATCATTTTTACATATTGCATCATAATTGTGTGAAGGCAAATGGACCATATGACATATGTTATAAACTGCACAATAATTTGTTGTTATTATTAATATTGCTGTAAGTAGTTGATTATCTTTTGAATGGTTTAAATAATAAAAACATAAGTCTTTATGTTTACCCATTGAGTTACAATTTACAGTATTCTCATTGCTTTGTGTATATCTAGGTTTCCATCTGGTATTGTTTTTCTCTGCTTGAAGGACTTTAACATTTTTTATAGTAGAAGTCTGCTGATAGTTCACTTTTCCAGGTTTTGTAAGTGTGAAAGTGTCTATGTTGTCTTTGTTTTTGAAAACTATTTTTGCTGTTTGTAGAATTCTAGTTTGCACCCTTTTCTTTCAGTACTTCAAAGATGTTGCTATATTATTTTCTTGCATTGTTTCTCATGAAATATTTGTGCCTAATGTTTCCTCTGTCCCACCAGCTGTGCTTAAAATTTTCTTTATCACTGATTTTAAGCAATGTGTTATGCGCCTTCTTCATGTTTCCTCTGCTAGGGGTTTCTTAACCTTCCTATTTCTGTGGGTTTAAAGTTTTCATCAACTTTGAAAAAATATCAGCCATTATTAAAAAAAAATTTTTTTTAGCCTCTCTTTTCCCTCTTCTCCCCTTTAGGAAGTCTGATTACATACATATGTGGCCATTTGAAGTTATCCCACAGTTTACTGATACTCTTTATTTATTTCTCTTTCTGTGTTTTATTGTATTGAGTTTCTCTTGTTATGCCTTACATTTCTCTCATCTTATTTTTATGCAACGTCAAATCTGTAGTTAATGACATCTTGTGTATTTTTCACCTCAGACATTCTTCATTTCTGGTGCCGTTTAATTACCCTTTCAGTGAGGTGAACTCTGTCTCCCTGACCGCTCCTCTTCCAGCAGTGCCACTTCCTCCCTCCTCCCGCCTCCTCATGTCGTTTCTCGCCAATATTTAAATGTAAATATGCCTGCGTGTGCCATTTAAATAAAAATCTTCTCATACCTGCCAAAACCCAGCTCTGTCTTTTATCCCACACCTGTGTATAGGGTAAAGGAATTGGAGAGAAGGAAACAGTAACTGAGCAGTTGAGCCATTTCCATGTTGAAAATGATCAAGTCTTAAATAAATGAGTTATCTGTAATAATTCAATTGGAATCTTTTATGTCTTTCATGTCTCTACTTAATATGCTTATTCTTTAGATTTTTGAACATGTGGAATACAGTCATAGAAACTGCTTTCTTGTTCCTATCTTCTATCATCTGTGTTGTTTCTGGGTCAGTTTGATTGACTGATTTTTCTCCTCATTTTGGATTGTATTTTTCTGCATGATAACCTTTGATTTGATGCCAGATATTGTGAATTTTATCTTTTTAGGTACTGAATAGTTTTGTACTTTTTAAAAGTGTTCTTGGGCTCTGTTTTGGGATATAGTTAAGTTACTTGGAGACAGTTTGATTTGTTTGGCTTTTGCCTTTACATTTGTTAGGTAGCACCAGCGTTATGTGTAATAATATAGGGTGAATTTATCTCCTCTAGTGAGTCCAGATCATTCTCAGTGCTCATAGAATGCTCTCCAAATTATGAAGTTTTACACTTTGGCTATAGGGTCCTGGCATGATTCCGTGGCTGTGTGTGAGCTCTAGACAGTGTTCCCTATAATCCTTATGGGCAAGTTGTTTCCTTGGCATAGTTTCCTCACACCCTTGAGCTGATCAATACTTAGCTAATAATCAAGGGGAGCCTTTTGCAGTTCTCCTGAGTTTTTTTATTTGTGCAGCTCTCTCCTCTCTAGTACTCTGTCCTTGTCTCTTCTTCAGTACTCTGACTACCTTGGTCTCTCAATACTCTGAATGAAGTCTCTTTAACTTACAGAAGTTAGTAACTTCTTCTTGGCTCTTTCTCCCTGGGCTACAGCCTGAAAATTTGCTCTATTCAGTATCCTGATAAGCTTAGAGCTCAGTTAATTCCTTTATGGTCTCTCAGGGTTCACTGTCCTTCATTGCTTGGTGTCCAGTGGCTTAAATACTGTGTATTAAATATACTTTGTTCAGTTTTTAGTTTTTTTGGGCAGGAAGATAAAGCTGTTCCTGTTTATCTTGACTGGAAGCAGAAGTCTTGCAACTAGTGATTTTTATGTCTTTAACAAAATTAAAATGTACAGTAGAGTTTCAAGAGTAGAACAAAGATTCCCCTGTGCCTTCTGTTCATTTATTAACATTTTGACATATTTGTTCTATGGCTCCCTTTTTTAATATAAGTGTGTGTGTGTGTGTGTGTGTATGTGTGTGTACACATTTGAATGCTTTGCAAGTTAGTTGAAGTCTTATGTCCCTTTATTATAAAATATTTAAGCATGTATTTTCTAAGAACATACCTGTAATACAATACCAGCTTTTGTATTTGTCCCAATAATGTCCTCTTTTGGCATTTTTTAAAATCCTGATTCAAGATCTAATCTAGAATCAATCATTTCATTTAGTTATATCTCCTCAGTTCCTTTAATCTGGAACATGAGTGTGAGAAATCACACTCTGTGCTTTGGTAATTTTTCTTTTCCACTTAAAGTTATTCTGAAGTATGTCCGTCAGTCTTTAATCCTCAGGGCATGTTTTTTTATTTTTATGTGGCTTTATTTTCCCTTTCTGTTGTTTGTGTTGTTTTTGGTGGAAATACTGGGAGATAGAGGCCTAGGTAGCCATGTTGCTTTCAGTCACCCGGGCTGTTTTCTCATTATTCTTTCAGCACTTCTTTATTTCTTGCAAAATAAGATATTCCAGACTCATCTTGAATATTCTCTTTTCCAGTCCTGGAATAAACCCCTTTCCCTAGGAGTCTTGGTTAGTTTTAGTAGAGAAAATATTTAATACTTAACCAGTTGACTGTGCATGGGATTTTGTATCTTACAGTCTTTTGCAAACACATAATGCTGCAGTGAACAACTTTGTCACAGATGTGTTTTTGTGTTATTATGAGTATCTTCAGGGTATACTTCTGGAAATGGGATTTCTAGGTCAAAGTGTAAATGCATATGTAGTAGTTTTCTTACATATTGCGAATATAAATATAAATTTTTAAAATAGATCTTGTACCATTTTGTATATCCACCAGAAACATATGAGAGTGACAGTTTCTGCTTAATCTTGGCCAAAGAGTGTCTTGTCAAACTTGTGAATTTTTATTAATCTGGTAGGTAAAATGATATCTAGAATAGCTTTAATTTATATTTTTCTAATTATGAGTGAAATTAAATATCTTCTAATATATTTAATAATTATTTTGTTTAGAGAGCTAGTTTTATTCTATGCTAAATGTGAATTTTACTTTGTGTTTTTTCCTATTCGTCTAAAATTACAGATGTCAGAAATAAAAGAAATCCAAATTGGAAAGGAAGAAGTAAAATTGTCTGTTTGCAAGTGATATGATCTTATATATAGAAAACCCTAATGACTTTACCAAAAAACTGTCAGAATAAATAAATTCAGTAAAGTAGCTGGATACAAAATTAACATACAAAAATCAGTGTGTTTCTATACACTAACAACAAACCATCTGAAAGAGAAATAAATACAACAATTCTATTTACAATAGCACCAGAAAAAAATAAATACTTAGGAATAAATTTAATTATGGAGGGAAAAAAATCTGTATACTGAAAATTATGACATGAATGAAAGAAATCAAAGAAGATGCAAATAAATAGAAAAATATTCCATTTTCATGGATCAAAAGGATTAATATTTTAAAAATGTCCATACTACCCAAAGCCATGTGTAGATTAATTTCAACCTCTATCAAAATTCCAATGGCATTATTCACAGAAATAGAAAAAAAAGTTCTTTTATTCATGGGGAACAAAAAGGACCCAAAAAGCTAAAGTAATCCTGAGAAAGAAAAACAAAGCCAGCGGCACCACATTTCCTGATTTCAAACTGCATTATAAAGCAATAATAATCAAAACAATATGATACTGGCATAAAAACAGACATATAGACCAATGCAATAAGAATCAAAGCAGTATGATACTTGCATAAAGACTTAGATCAATGGAATGGATTTGAGAGCCCAGAAATGAACCTATGCATATATATATGGTCAACTAAAATTTGACAAGAGAGCCAAGAATAGTTGCTTCGATAACTGGTGTTGGAAATAGTGGATATTCACATACTATATAAAGAAAATTGGGCTTATCTTAAACCACTCACAAAAATTAACTTGAAATGTATTAAAAGTTTAAATCTTATCCCTGAAACTATAAAACTAATGGGAGGAAATGTAGCAGAAAGGTCCTTTGCATTAGCCTTAGCAATGGTTTTTGGGATATGACACAAAAAGTACAAGCAACAGAAGCAAAAATAAGCACAAAGGCAAAAATGAAAAGCTCCTGCACAGCCAAAGAAACAGTCAGCAAAATGAAAAGGCAGCTTATGGAGTGGGAGAAAATATTTGCAGACCTTCTATCTGATATGGAGTTAATATCCAAAATATAAGGAACCCGTACATTCAATATCAAAAGGCCAAATAATCCATTTAAAAGTTGGGCAGAGGATCTGAATAGACTTTTTTTTCTAAAGAAGATATACAAATGGCCCACAGGTACATGAAAAGATGCCGAATATCACTCATCATCAAGGAAATGCAAGTCAAAACCACAATGAGTTATCACTTCATACATGAGAGAATGGCTATTATCAAAAAGACAAGAGATAATAAGTGTTGTCAAGGCTGTGAGAAAAGGGAACCCTTGTATACTTTTCCTGGGAATGTAAATTGCTACAGCGACATTGGGAAACAGTATGGAGGTTCCTAAAAATATTAAAAGTAGAACTACTTATATGATCCAGCAATTCCACTTCTGTGAATATATATTTGAAGGAAATGAAGTCACTACCTTGGAGAGATAATCTGTATTTTCATGTTAATTGCAGCATTTTTTATAATAGCAAAAAATATGGAAAC